GATGGACTGCCACCTGCCCCCACCCCTCCCCTCAGCCTCAGTGGCAGAAGGGTGTAAGCCATTGCCCAGCACTGAGAAACTGGTCCATGCCATGGACTGGAAGAAAATGACATAAAACAATCGATGTTGGGATCACGAATTCCAATGTTTCTTCAAGGCTAAGGAAGTAATGGAAATACATCAACTGGAACCTGGGTAAAAATCAAAGGGAGAAATAAGGGCTGCAGCTGAGCTAGAGAATTCAAATTCCATATAAAAGAATGAAAATACAATGAAAACAATAAAACACTAACAAAAACTGTCCTTTACATAGAAAACCCATGGTGGCAAAGGCTCAGCCCTGTTACCAGACTGCTAATCCCTAATTAGAAGCTTTGGTAGCTGAGATTCCTGCTGAGAAGGCCTTACCTAGGATGGCATGCATGCATTTTCAAAGACTATTCACTGAGGGCCCAACCTAAGCCCCTGTCTTTGAGTGGAGGTCCCTGGAGAGTTCTGAAGCTTGGCCTCCCTCTGTTCCCGTCTCAGTACCAGCATACGGATGCCAAGCAAAGAACCTTCAGCAGTCCCAGAGATTCCCACAGCTAAGCTCAGATCAGAACCTAAGGTAGAAATTAGGAATCACTTTGCAGAGACAAAACTTCTGAGAGCGTGGTCATCTGTACCTTGCTGCTGTGACCAGATAGAGACAACAAGCTTGCAACTTACAAAATGACCAATGCCAAGAAAATAACCTTTTTTCCTCAGCTGAGATTTACTGTCAGTATGCCTGTGAGTTCTGTGAAAAATTTAACTTGAGCCCATGACACACAGAAGTGGGGTGCACAGAAGGTGGGAGAGATGTACCAATAGCAAATCTCAGCTGGTTTTAATTGTTGCTAATTGTAGATCCTGCTAAACTAATGGCAGGAAGAAAAAGCAGCACTGGTTGGGCACAGTGGCTCACGCCTCTAATCCCAGGACTTTGGAAGGCTAAGATGGGGAGATCACATGAGTCCTGGAGTTTGGGACCAGCCTAGGAAACAGAGCGAGGCCTCGTCTCTACTAAACATAAAATTAGTCAGCCATGGTGGTGCATGCCTGTAGTCCCAGCTACTTGGGAGGCTGAGATGGGAAAATCACTTGAGCCCAGGAGATTGAGACTGCAGTGAGCTATGATCATGCCACTGCACTCCAGCCTGGACAAGACAGAGTGAGGCTTTGTCAAAAAAAAAAAAAAGAAGAAGAAGAAGAAGGAAAGAAAGAAAAAGAAAGAAAGAAAAAGAAGAAAGAAAGAAGGGGAGAGAGGGGAGGGAGTGGAAGGGAGAGGAGCTGAGGGAGGGGAAAGGAAGGGGAAGGGGAAGGGAAAGGGTAAAAAGAGAGAAAGAAAAGAGAGGGGAAGGAAAGAAAAGGAAAGGAAAGGAAAAAGGGAGAAAGGAAGGAAAGAAAAGAGGAAAGAAGGAAAGGAGAAAGAGCAGTATTTGTGAGCAGCTATGATGTACCTGGCATGGACCCTCACACACTTCAGATACTCATCTTATAGATTCCTCACAAGAGCCTGAAGAGGTGGGAATTTACAGGTGGGAAGATTGGGCTCAGATTATGTACTTCCAAAGAATGAAAAAGTGGAAAATGGTGGAATTTAAGCAGATCAGTCTGAATCCCAGTGCCAGGATGCACTCTTTAGACATAAGTGCAGCTGGCTAACCACTGCCAATCTCACCCAAACTCTTCATTCCCTCTGTCAGATACAAACCTTCCTGCACTCTCCACTCCCCAGATGATTTTGGGCTTCCCTGGTCCTGATCCAATCTCCAATGGATCCCCCCAAAACCAAACTTCTCACTCTGCCCTCCAGGGTCCACAATGCTTGCAACAACAGCCCTAACATGTTCCCTCCCCTTTTGCAGAGGTGACAATTCAGGGGCAGCAGCAATAGCCTCATCCTTCCACACTTCAAATACTCCACAGCTGGGAGGGGGTGAGGTCTTTCTCATACAGCGCTGATTCCAGATCATTGCATTAAAACCCAATGCTTGGCAAGTCAGGCCTCCTGGCTCAGCTGGCCAGCCCCTCTCTCTGCCTCTCACTGACTGCGCCCCTCCCCATTCTGTGGCACTGGAGAATTTTGCCTCCCAACCTTCCTCTCCCAAGACTGCCACCTTCAAAATCCACGAAGACAACAAATCTAAAGGCCAGGTTTTGGGTTCCTCTTTCATCACCAACGTTGCCCACGAACTGGATTCACCCACTCCTGCGATCACACCCTCAGCTGTTCTCCCTTCAAAATCTGACCACAGCCCCTCCCTCAGTTCGGTAACTGCGGAGATACCACCTCCACCCCATCAGGATTCCCTGTCCTGGGACCTGGGTTTTTTTGTTTTGTTTTGTTTTTTTGCGGTGGCGGGGGTGGGGGTCTGTTAGCTCCTCTAATTAATTCCTTACCCCCTCTGGCCCACCAGCCCCTTGATAGTAATAATTCTTACTTTCCATGACCTGTTGCTGCATTTGCATGATAAACCAGTACCCTGAATGAATCCTACCACTGCTGTCTCTATACCTGTATTTGGGTTGCTGACATAAAATCATAAATCACAAGAAAAGTGGCACTATGAATTTCTGTGAATACTATAGCTGAGCATTCACCACATGCTTGGTGCATGGATTATGTCATTTCATCTTCAGAACAACTCCAGATAGTGGATATTAACATCATTCTCATCTTCAAGGGGAAGAAACGGAGTCTTTGAGAGGTCAAAACGTGCCCAGTCACACAACTGAGGGAGTGAGGGAAGCTGGATTCACACCAATAGGCTGCCTGGCAGTCCCGAGTCTACGCTTGGCTGCTGTGCCACAGTCAGCTTCATGAAGCCTAACCTGGCCCTCAGAGTTGCCCATAACCATCTGGCTCTTTCCCCAGCAAGCTGTAATTTTCCAGTGCAATTTTAAACCTTCTTCCCTTCTCTCAAACCACTGACTTCCCTGCCTTTCCCCTCACTCTCTCAGCAGATGACTGTTTCCTTCACAAAGAAAGTAGAAGCCATCAGACTGTTTCTCTTGTCCTCCTGTCGTGAAATGTGAAAAACTTACCTGCATCTGCCTCCTTCATTGTGCCTTCCCACCTGTTACAATGTGATATTTTCAAAGACAATAAATAAATAAATAAATAAGCAAGCAAGCACGACTATAACATAACAGTCATGTTTTTTTTCCAACGGGAGAATGAAGCCATTTTATTTAGGGGAATGTTAAAACAAAGCCATATACAATCTGTAACAAATACAATACAATTGTTTGTTCCCTAGTCCTGAATAATTACAGTATATACAAAATCTGTAAGGCACTGGTTCCCCCAAAAGAACAAATGAGTCTTCTTGTGAAACGGACAACGAAACCCCTATATTGCCAACTTTTCTCTAAAAAATATGGCATTTTTTTCTGTTTTGTTTTACAAGAGGCATCATAATTGCTAAATTAAGTCACTTCTGATGTCATTTCTTTCATTTCCACTGCTGTGTCTGGGTTTTCTAAGGCAATATAACTACTAAACATGTTCAAGTTTAAAAAACTATATTTCTCTCAGTGCTGTTCCACCCACAAACAAAGAATCAGATCAGACCAACAACATAACACTTCTAATGAATATGCATGACTCTAGGAACACGAAATTCAGTCATTATTAGGTACTTGCTATACTTGACTACACACCAATTGAAATGTGTCAAAGAATTCCCTGTAAATAAAATCTCAGCATGTTTTCTAAGAAGCTTTCTGTTTGGGGAATTCAAAAATGGTCACTAATGACCTTTGAGCAGTGCTTTCCAGGAGGTCAAAGGCCTGTTTCCACATACATAATGTTCATAGCACTCTTTTTGTGATTTAACAATCTACATACTTTTATAAATAAATATTATGTTTCATTTAGTACTTTATCATCCATAATATCTTACTCTCTAATCCACATAATGGAGTTGTGCCAGACTCCAAACTGAACATAATATTTATATATACATATATATTTATATATATATACACATACATAAACTATAAACCTGAATATCTTAGCATATGAAACTTATCTAACAACTAATAATTTAGGATTCCTTTGAGAGGGAGGGGTTAGAAGAAACTCTTAGTCTTTGAAATATCCTGACAGTAAGCAACAAATGACATTATTAATTTCTGGGTTCTCATTTATTCAAGTGAAAAATAAAATAAAATTCACTTTTGAGCCACTAGAAATTTTGAAATCATAAAGGATTATTGGGAAATGAGTAGATAGTCTTTAAGAACAATTTAGTGTTATCTAAGTAAGGTGGATTTTGGTAAGACACAGAGAAAAATCTATGCATAAATAAATTCTTGTTTCATTGAGCGACCATAATTGCTAAGCGGGTCTTTTTAAGTATCTCAGGAATGTTTTTAAAATATTAATAGTGAATAAATGAGATTGAGGATTAGAAAATAAGCTACCAATCTTTTCCAAAGCAACCAAATATAGTAAGGAAGAAGTTTGAAGACTATTTTAATTTCCTCCCATCCTTCATTGGCACCAACACCTCCCTAGAAATCTAGCTTAATTTCAAATCATCACCTCCTCACAAAATATTCTGATTTGAAGTTATCCACGTTCAAGTATTTACCAAAAAGAAAACATAATTTTATCTACAAGGTAAGCCCAACCTCACTTAAATTTAGGAAAAATCCAAGAAACAAAAACATGTCCCACTTAACTGGCATAAATGTTTACCTGTTGTTTTGTAGATGATCTGTTTAGAGGCACTGAAGTTTCTCTCCAAGGCTCAGATTATTAGTCACACTTAGTTCTAACCATATATTCCTTCTAGGCTATCCCTAAGAATATAACTGACACAAGAGAAAGGAACCTTTACATTATTATTGAGGTTATTTTTAATATCAATAAAAGCAGCATTCTGATTACAGTTCTACTTGGAACCAACTGTTTTCACTCTGTGAAAACGCAATTTTTTTTTTTTTTCAAATTCAAGGATTATGAAATTCTTCTGTCTTAGTTACAAACAAAATGCGGCTATGAAGCACTGGGAAGTAAATGCAAAATATAGAAAGAATCCTCATGATTCTCCCAAACTGTAAGCACAGCTCACAAACTATCATTGCTTTAGAATGTTTTCTGGATGAACAAGTTACCAGCTGCAAACCGACTTCAGAAGTGAGGAAAATGTTTTTTCGTGTTTCACGTAGCTGTCAAATTTGCAAAAATCCTCCATCCTTCAATCACCCAGTGGGGAAAATGTGTTATAAAACACTGCCCCCTGGAGTATTCTGGGAGGAATGTCTTAAAAAAAAAAAAAGACAAGGGGAAAGTACTTTCAAATTCTTTACTACCACTAACCACTACAGAATTTCTAAGAAGCAAAAGAAAACCACAGAAAGGAAATGTATGTGATTAAAGTGTACAACTTTAAGCTTTATTATATTCATGTTGCTAAAGAATATTTGCCTTCTCAATGATTTTATTCATGTTGTTCCAAAGTTAAAACCCTGTAGAACTAAGTAGGTGAAGAGATATTTTGTATAAGTGCCACGGAAGAGAAAATATAATAAATTAAATAGTGAATTGAACATCACTAGAATAAAATAAAATGAGTAGGCATTCCTAAGATGTGAAATGATCACTTAACATACATATTCCATCCATATTGATTTTAGAACAGTAAAACACAGCAGCCCATAATATTGTGTGGCCTCCACTAACTCTCCTCTGCTGTCCCATCTAGAGGTTATGTTTCCCTATTTTTAAAATAAAATGTAGTTAAATTAGCCTGATGGATGTTTCCTCTCTATTCCTTATCTCAGACACATACAAAATGAACAGACAACAAAAAGACATCATCTTTATCTCTACAAAATAAGGTTTGCACACTTTTTTCTTTGTGCTTCTGAGATTGGCTCCTTTGCATATATAAGATACAAGCCATCTGCACCATCACTCTCCCTCGTTCCCTATCTTTGTTGACATATTCCTCTTACAACACAAGAGCAAATTACCTCTATTTTAAAGCACCCCGTCTTCAACACAGCTCATGACAATTTTATTTAATATTGATCCTTTGACTGAGAGATCAAAAGCATGTACAGGTCAATCCTCTGCACATTAAAAAACAAAACAAAACAAAAGCTTTCTTTGTGTTTAACGAGAAGGACTTTACCATGACAGAGATGCCTAACACAATCAGAAACAGAAGTGGTTCTGAACAACACCTATCAACAATTACTTCTATTAGAGTCACATAAACCTTCATTTGTTCCATATTGCCTGAAGCTGCAAAAGGCCACCTGCAGGAATTCCAAATGTGGTCCTAGACAGGCGGTGTCTGTACCCAGTGCATTCACATTACCGTAGCGGCCCCAAATACAGGGATGGCCAAAGTGGTCTGAGGAGGCTAAGGTGGGGTGGGGAGTATGTTTAAGATGAATTCTGTTCTATGTCCTCCAACTTAGACTGTCTTTTGGTTCACAGAGTGCAACAATATTTTACCAATGGAAAGACATGTATTTTAATTTACCTTCCAGCAGAGCTCCTGGGAAGAACTTTTGTTGTTATTATTTAAACTATAATTCTATAACCCTTAAACCATCCACATTATCTGTTTTATTTTGGCAAAATGAAAGCATCTTAAAAAAAAAAAAAAAGGCAATCCCAAAATACAGGGCTTTCTCAGAAAGCAACATGCATCATATCTTGAACAAGTTACCCAAGCGGTTTCTCCCTCCTACAAACAGACACAGATCAATCTCTGCTTCTGGGAGCTTCTCTGTCTTTGTCCAGGTCGCTCCCTGAGAGGTAAGGTCTGAACCCACTGGGAAGCAGGACGATGTTCAAGGCTTGTACTGTGGATGCTTATTTGACGTCTTTTGCTCTGCCCACAAACAGAAGAGTACCTGTTGGCTTTCTGCAGAGATGCTTACTTTTCCTGTCATATCAGAGTTTAATGTCCTGGGACTCTGACATTTTGGCAAGTGTTTTCTTAACACGCAGGGCTGTCAGCCTTGATGCAGGATTGTGAGCCCAGCATTCTGTCATGAGTTTCCCCATCTGCCTTAGACACTGAGGAAGAGAAATGTTAGAAAAATGTATCATCTGCAATGCTGGCACCTGATACAATGTAGCTTTTTAGCTTTAGGTTCATTAAGTTTGAATATATTTTTAAAAGGTACCCTTAAAACCATGTAGGAATAAAATTCTGTAGGTTTTTTTCATGCAAAATTATATATGACTAAAACAGATGTTCATGTCTTCTTTGTGACAGAAGCAAGCAGGTGGTTCTGCTGACTGTAGAAGGGTGTCTTTGAAGTTAGTGTTAAGCAAACATAAACATACCCAGGGAGTTTGTATTCCACTCAGTACTCCCAGATTGTTTACAACACTTGATAAGTTTAAATCTTTTATCTAATTCCATACTATGCAAACACAGTTATTCCTAAATCATAGCTGTCTGCTGCAGTAATAGCATCACACTGCACCATTTAACAAGATTAATGACCTGTGCACAGCATCACTAAAACTTTCTCCTGTGGTACATCAATTATTGGTCTTCCTATTGAAAAGTACAATTTCACTTCATAAGAAATCCTCAGTGAAGAGATTTCAAGTAACACCAAAAGCCGACAATAACAGAGCTCCAGCATCTCATAAAGCTTTCTGCACAGCTTGCTGGAAAACATATATTATTATATAGCATTTTAGTAACCAGACACAAAACCAACGAGCCAAAGGTGTTTTTGTTGTTGTTGTTGTTTGTTTTGAGACAGGGTCTTGGTCTGTCGAGTGCAGTGGCATGATTCTGGCTCACTGCAACCTCTGCCTTCTGGGTTCAAGCAATTCTTGTGCATCAATCTCCTGAGTAGGTGGGAATACAGGCGTGAACCACAACACTAAGCTATTGTTTGCATTTTTTAATAGAGATGGGTTTTCACTATATTGGCCAGGCTGGTCTTGAACTTCTGGACTCAAGTGATCCACCCGCCTCGGCCTGCCAAAGTGCTGGGATTACAGATGTGAGTCACCATGCCCGGCCCAGAGATTACTTTTAAATGGCTTTTACACTTAAGAAATAGTGCTCTGTCCCTCCTTTGCAGTGCTTTGGTAGATGTTTGATAAGAGCCGGGTTTTTGTTTTTGTTTTTGTTTTTGTTTTTTTTTCCCCAGCGGTGCTTCAAACTCATCTTGAATATTCCAGTCCGCCAGAGAACTCTAGAACACAGTGAGTTTGAAGGCTGGGAGGGTGGAAGGAGAGGAATGTGGAACAGGAGGAGGAGTCAGGAAAGGCTAGACTCATTTCCTCCTTCCTAGCAGCTCCTTTCCAGACCTATGTAGGTTTCACCACTACATCCTTAGAGCCAAGCTGAAGGTGGATTTGTTCAAATCACATCTCATCATCCTTATTAACAAAGACACCCAGCACAGTCAGGTATCTTAACTAGGTCAACTTGTATCACTTTAACATGCTTACTTTTTTCTCTAATCAAAATGGGAGAACGCTGTACATGGGTTTGTTACAGAGAAAAATCATGATGCTTTAAAAACACACACAGAGAAATAATAGGTTTTATGCAAATGTCAAGACATTATAAATAAGGAAAATAGTGTTATTTGTTATGCAGGTTAAACACTGACCAGCCCACTCAATATATTCTGGAACTGGCAAAATAAAATTGGAAAAGTAGAACAAGTAATTTAATAAACTACACTTATCTTCATATAAATCACTGCAAAAAGGTGCCATCACCATCACCATTAAAACAAAGAAGAATTCCTACAATGAATACGTGGAATTTTGGCTAAAACAGAAGTCTATTTAGAAGTCAGTTGCAGCCACATGGTTACCTCAATTGAGCCTTACCTCATCACTGCTCCATCGGTTTGGGAATGAGGGGCGTAACTTCTTGATGCACACAACCTCTCTCATGTCCTCGTAGGAGGGGTCACTGGGCACTAGGTCATGATAAGGAAGCTGGTATTCTTCCACTATACCTAAAATGTGTTATTGTTATTATTTTCTGTGAAGTAGAAATAAAAGTCTAACACAGCTCTCAAAGGAAAAGTGCTATCAGTATTACAGACAAGTTCAGGCAGAAAAATAGCAAAATAAACCTTGAAAAATATTTACCCAAATGGTGCTTAATCTAATTTAGAAAAAATGAATACAAAGCCCAATGAAAAGTATTATCATAGGTCTTCAAGACTTTCTTTCCTAATTTCCAAACGCTAAGTAAAACAAGCATCTTAAATTTATTTCCAATTTTATAAAGAACAAATTAAAAGACAAATCTATGTTAAATCTCAATGCAAATTTGCAAGACATATCCTGAACTCATATTACATAGTATGTGACTATTTCTATTACTATAGTATGAAACTATGAACATAGTTTGGAATTGTATCCTACTTGAACAGTGTCAGATTTACATTTTTTTCTGCTTAATTGGAGGAATGTGGTTTTGCCCATTAAAATTTAGAAAATTATAGACACCCAAAAATATTAACTATGAATTTTTTAGGTCCAAGGATTATCTGATTTTTTTTCTATATTTATCCAACTTGTCAATAACGAATACATTACTATTAGAAAAAGTATGTATTGTTAAGAGTTAAGAAATACAAATCTATAGCATCTTCATAAAAATGTACACTAAACTGTTTCATTTTATCGTTCCTAGTATTTCATTTCTACCTTTTTCCTCTTCTCCTTTAAAAATGCAGGCTTCTAGTGTCTTCTTTTTCACCTTCTCAAATTAACTCCTCATAATAATTACATTAGAGGCTGCTGCTCTGAACAGTCTGTTTATATAAAGCTACCTTGTTTTTAAGCTGAGAATAGTTTCTCCTGTATTTGGCCCACAGGCTTTCAAATATAGGCTTCTTATAGCCCTGTCTCTTTAGATGTTCAAGAAAACATAATTAGAAAATAATCTTGTTCTCTACACCTTTAACTTCCACAAAGCTACCTTAATTAAGTATAAGCATGTTATTTTTTAAAAGGCTCGTCTACTTGATTTTTTTTTCTTTTTTAATACAGACTGGGTCCCAACCTATTGCCCAGGCTAGACCTTAACTCCTGGCTTCCAGCAATCCTCCCCACTCAGCCTCCCAAAATGCTGGGATTGCAAACGTGAGGTTTATCTACTCCTTATAATGCATGAAATCAAGGCATAGACCATCTGTTAATTTCTTGCTTACTTCTTCTTTACATTTAGAATGAGAAATTTATTCAATATCTGGTTAGAGAAAATTTCCTGCATTAACTTTCCTTTTGGACAAAACAGTTCTCTCACTTCAGAGAGAATGTGTCCTATTTCAAATTTCTTACAACAGGTTCAGAATTCCCAAAGTGATTATTAGAAGGCATTGTGCCACTGAAGATGATCTTTCTATCAAAGTATGAATGCAGGTTGATTAACTGTTTCTTCTTTGTATTTAAATATGAACCTAAAGATGGTATGGTTCTACCAACCAAAATGAAAATTTTTAATAGTAATAATAGCTAACATGTATTGAGTGCTAATTATGTGCCAGGCAGTTCTCATTATCTTTACATTCATTGAAACTATACAACCAAAGAAGCGGATACAATAATTCACTTCATCCTTAAGAGGAGAACTCTGAAACAAAGAAAAGGTTATAACCTGTCCAAGGCATCACAGGTAAATAGCAGGAACAAGAACAAATCTCAGTACTAGTTAAGTGCATGCTGCACTTTCAGAATCTTCAGCAAGCTCATGTTTTCATGAAGATAGATTTAAATTGGCCATCATGAGGAACATCAGCAGCATCAAGGCTTTTTAATGAGCACAACCATGGAATAACATAGAGTACTTGATACAGAAAAGCCAAAGATTAAGCTCCTTGCCTAAAAGGTGTCAGAATTTGCTCGAAGACAGATTGTGCAGCAATCAAAATAGTACAAGCAATAATACTTCCGAATATTTAAATATGTCTTCTTGTTTATTATAAGTGGTTTTACTAGGGAATCCTCATGTTTGTAGAAAAAACAATACCATAAAAAATAACAATACTCTGATACTTTAATTTCCTTTTGATAAAAATTTGTTTCCAAATTGCTTTATGAGGAAGTTTTATAAAAAATAAATACAGAAGGTAAGAAATGGGTGTCCCTCCCCACATTTATGTCCTACTGTCATCTCTGCAGAGGAAATCCCAGGGAATGGAGTTGGGGATGGGGCCCAGCAGCTAGGTGAGAATAAACTGGCAGGGACAGAAAAGGGGGTTTGATTTGATGGAGCCACCGCTGGAGGAAGAACCCAGGAGAGAAATGAGACAATACACAGAGCAGAAAACAGTGATGCTTGAGAAGGCAGGGGAAGCTGACAGCGTGTCTAGTGGCAGGTGAAGGAAGGAAGCAGTCAAAGATTATTCTAGGATGTCGAATATAATTTCCTGGAAGCATTATGACTGCATCAACAGAAATAAAGGAGAAAATAAAACCGGATCTTACAGACAGTATGATAACTTGGATTTCCGATCAGAAAGAAAGAATTTGTAGTAGCTCCGATAGTAGCTTTTCAAAGACAGCACTGCTTCTTACCTCCTGATACACATCTCCTAGCAACCTCCCAAAGGATGAGGCCAAAACTATACATGTCAGCCATGATGTAAGACTGGAAGTGATTTCTGTTCAAGCTCTCGTCCAACACTTCTGGAGGCATATAGCGTTTGGTGCCAACTCGAGTGTTAGGTGGTATGTCAACTTCATTTGTATCACTAAGGAAAAAGTAAAGCAAAGCATTATAGCACTGAAGAGGACCAACAAAAACAAATCAAGGTGATCCTTAAACAATGGCTTTAATTATTGAAAGGCGGAAAAAAAAAAAACTTGCCAGGGAATAAAAACAATTTCTTAAGGAATATTTCTTGCCAAAAGCTATATTAAATATTTACAGGTTAAAACCCAATGAAAGGCAAGCTGGTACTGTGGTGCATGCCTTAGTCCCAGCTATTCTGGAGGCTGAGGTGGGAGGATAGCTTGAGTCTAGAGGCTCAAGGCCTGACTGGGCAACATAGTGAGATGCCATCTCTTAAAAAAAGTTAGAAAAAAAAAAAAAAGAAGACGAAACTCAGTCAGAATGAAGCTGCAGCATTTAAAAGTGCATTATCAATAGATCAAATTTATACCCTAAACAACTGCTAAATATATATTAAATGTCTTAAAAACCCCTCTTCCTTGCCCTCCTATTTAAACTTTACTCTTAAAATGGGCATGCACACATGGCAATTTCGTGAGAAACAGTATTTCTTAAGCCAGCTGTTGTAAAGCTCTTAGATCTACAAACAAGTTTAAAAATGGGGAAGGAGAGAACCAACAAACACATGCAATTGTTTTACTTTGGCAAGGTGGGACATGTAAAAAGGCTTTCTACTATCACTATTGTTTTATGAACCAAATAGCATTTAACTTTTTTAAAAAGGAACAAAACAATAATGGAATATGACATCTTTAACTCTCTAAAAATTTTACAACATGGCCCATTTACTATTCCTTCCCACAGACTGGGAAAAGATGAATGATGGAGGGACAACAACCTGCACACTGGCACTTGGGAACCATGGCCTCAGTGCGGCGAGCTGGAGCCACAGTTCCAGCCCCTGTTCTAAGGGTGCTGAATGACTAGGCTGATGATTATGTACAAGCCCTGCCAACACAGTACTAGGCACATATTAGACACTTAAGTACTATACCTCATCAGAAAGGAACTAAGTAGAAAAGTAACAAATCCTAGGTATAACAGATGAACAGACTATAACCAAATAAGGTATACTATAAAACAGAAAAGGTACAGAAACTCATTATTAAACTGAACTCTGTGGAAAATCTTGGATAAAACTTTCTATCTCCTGACTCCCAAGAATTTTTTTTTTTTTTTTGCTTTTTTCATTACACTCTATTGACTCTCAAGCATTTACATGTTATTTCTCCTCAGCCTGGAAAATAGATTCGTTTATCGAATATCACACTTATCTTGCTGTCACAGATAGTCAATACCAAAACACTAGTGGTTTTAGGAAAAAATAAAAAGTCAAAAACCTCTAGGTTTGATCTCATTACCTTGACCACTTCTACAACATGAAATATGTGGTGTCATATTTTGTCATTTGAGAACATTTTAAGTGTCACTCTCAAAATTTTTACATTTACTAAATGTATCTCAAAATCATACCTCAAAATTTTTATTTACTAAAATATAAAATATAAAGCTTCATTTTAGAACCTTTTAAACTCACTTCCAGCTAAAATTATTAATCTAAAATTATTTCAACAGATATGTCATCAGCGTACTCATTAGGCCCCTCATGGTTTTCTAGGTGCAACGATAACCAGCCTGTTTTCCTAAATAAAAGTTAAGATGTTTAAAAAAAAGTTAAAATGTAATTAAAAAACAAAACAGCTGGCATTCCTTACCATATGCAAACATAGGTCCCAGTGTTCTGGGCTCTTTTCTAAAACTGGAAAAAGAAGTTAAAATTTTAATTCTCAGCACTTACGTACTGGTACAATAGAAAATCGTCATTTGTATGTGTAAATGATAAACGACAGAGGAGGCAAGTATGCTGAGAAGAGACTTAATGGTAAACTGGAAACATGTCAGATTGAATAGATGCTACAAAAGCTCCACTTCCATTTATAAAGCACTCTCTCCTCCTACTCCACCTGCTGACACCTCTCATGGGAGGAGAGTAGGGATTTCACTAATGTGTTGCCAGCATGTTCTAATTTTAATTTTTAATCATGAGGAAGACAGCGGTGGCCCCAGGTAAGAAGTCCTGGGTCCCATGCAGAGAAAACAAACATGGGAGTTTGCAGGTGAAAAGAAGATGGTTAAAGACCTAAATTATATTCCAGAAAACAGACTAGGAAAGGGAATCAAGAAGAATCTGAAGACAATCCACACAGAAGTGCATTTAGAAAGGCCAAAGGTGTAATCTGACCACAGTTGATAAAGATTTTAGGCAACTTCATTCCGTTCTTACTCTTAGCTCCTTAATGTTTATTTGGATTTGGGAGGTCAGGGAAAGATAATGAAATTTGTGATGTAGAGATATCTATTGGAAAAATGACAGGTAACTGTGACCTAATAATAGAATTAAAATTTGTGACAGCTGGACTGTACATAGTACATCTCTAAATTCTTTTTCTAAAACACTGCAAAAACATACACTCAAGGATTTTGAATGTCGACCAAATGCCAAAAATCAGTCCCTTACGTAGTTCCTTAAATACATGCATGTACATATGTCTAGATGCATGTTCAGCAATAAGCCCTCTCTCTCCTCACCTTCCTCTCCCACCCTAGATGTTTGCCCTTGTAGTAGCTGAATAAATATTCTCCCTAGTAATATTTGAGTAAGTGATCTGGTTTCCAACTTTAGACTATCAACTCCTTTGAGCCCCAAATACTTGTCACAGTCACAGCCATTTGGTATATACCCAAAGAGCATAGCCCCAATCCCTCTCCATCTGTAGTGTGTCTTGCACATGACAGAAAATTGTACTTTAAATGAAAGAAGGAAAAGTTTTGTTACACTAAACTTTGCTATGTATAATTTAAAGGGAAATATAAAAATCTCTGGTCTGTATGGGCCATAAAATGAGATCTTACCAATTTCTAGAAGGATAAATAGAATTTCGTTGAGCAAACTAATTCTGTGAAAGATCACTATTAACCTACTGGCAAGTGCCTTTAGCACCACACTTAAACAACAAACATGAGAATTACAGGTAATTCATATCTGATACTGTAAAGTGTCAGATCCTCCAAGACATTTGGCTCTGCCCCTTCTTCCCTCAGGCATGTTTCTACAATTGAAAGTCATTAGATTACATTTCTTTCTTGGATTTTCAGTAACATCATTTTACCTGTTCCCAAATAATGGCAGAGAAAAATTGAGCTCGTGTTAATCCTAAAGCCAAAAATAGAAATAAATGTGATTTAACACTGGGGTACCAAGAATAAAGGAAGAAAAAGAGAGTGGAAGTAGAGTCAGATGGTGTGGTACACATGAAAACAGACACAGTACAACAGACAGAAGGTTCTAGGAGAAAGAAGGAGGCAGAAAAGGGCAGGGTGCCTTCTGCACTAGCTTCCTCTAGTCCCCTTGTCTACGGACGGCTATGGAGGGGAGAAACAAGGCTGACAAGAAAAGATAGATACTGCACAAGGGTTGTAGACTCAGAGACAATAACTCCAACCCCACACAATAATCCTATGTACTGCAGTAGCTACATACATATGAAGTCAGATTATAAAACCATACAGAGGAGACATAAATAGGATATTGGTTACTTCTGGGAAGGATAGAAGGAAATGAAAAAGGAACAGGACTACAATGGGGCTATCTTCAACATTTTATTTCTTTTAAAGAGAAAAACATGGTAAATCGTTAACATCTGTTCATATTAAATTATTACATGGATGTCTCACTTTTATACTTTTGTGTATGTTTATAATATATCACAAATATAAGTATATGTAATATATTTCTAAGTATACTATAAGTTAAAAGAACCCAGCAGGATCCAGAACTAGAAAAATGTACATTTCAAGGAATACAGGATAGGTTATAGGCATAAGGACGGGAAGAACAAAAGTGATATAAATAAACCGGACAAAATTACAGAGAAAATGAGCTGCTACGAAGGAGAACTGAAAATATCCCATTAAAAACAAGAGTGTTGCATTCACTACAGAAGAAATGCTCTCTCTCTTCTTCTTTCCCATGGAGAAGAACTGGAAATATTTGCACAAAGGGGTCATTATTAAAAAGTAGGGTTCAGAGAATTATAAGAGTAGACAATTTTGCCCTTTTATACTTCAATAATTAATACTCCCACTAGATCCAACATGGTTTTTGTTCCTGTTAATGTGAGTACTAAAGAGATTCAGACTTAAGTAGAATTAGAAGGAAATGAATACACAATTTGAGTAAAATAAAGTAAATTAAGAGATGTCAGATAAATTCTTCTCCAGGAGAAAAGCTTGCTTTGTTTTCAAATCATGCTTTAATGAATATTTTAAAAAAAAAAAGAAAGAAAGAAAGAAAAGGCCTGGTGTGGGGGCTCATGCCTGTAATCCCAGCATTCTGGAAGGCCAAAGCAGGTGGATTGCTTGAGTCCAGGAGTTCAAGACCAGCCTGGGCAACACGGTGAAACCCCGTCTCTACTAAAAATAGAAAAATTTGCTGGGTGTGGTGGCACATGCCTGTAGTCCCAGCTACTTGCGAGGCTGAAGCAGGAGGATCACTTGACCCTGGGAGGCAGAGGTTGCAGTGAGCCAAGATTACACTACTGCACCTTAGCCTGGGCAAGACTGAAACCTCATCTCAAAAAAAATCAATAAACATTTAGGGACAGTGGGGATGGAAGAAGATAAAACAAAAATGTCTGCAATTTTCTCAGTAAGAAGTTAATGGTAATGAGAGCCTGGGGGTAAAGGGGAAGTCAGTGAGGGAGAAGAAGGGTTCTGTTCTTCTAGCCTAGGGTCATAAGATATTAAGCCCTGTAGGGGTTTTAAAAAAAAAAAGTCCAGGTGGACTAAATTTTATGTACTACCTTCCATCACAATCTCCAGTAAAAACATCTTCAAACCTGAGCTGTTCGTATTTTGGAAACCAGAAGACAGCAACTATATAATGTGGAAAAGGCACAACGCATATGGGAGCTATCGACTGATAATGCAAACGGGAAAACAACTCCTTTGAATTCCCAG